TCCAGGCCTGTAGACAGGTCTGTAAGATGAGTTCTCAGATCCAGTGAGTTCCTGTAAAACATGAGATTTCCCAGAACATGTTGGACTTTGTTCTCAGAAGAACCCTGGTATCTTCTGCTAAGGTAGATATTAATACCAGAACTGCTGTAACAATGGAAAAGTTTATCAGTAGAAAAACCATATCAACAGGTTACAAAGATCGTAGTGTGATGGACTTCAGATAAATGTGTTTGAATGTTTTTTTTTTTCTTGTACTTTTGATTGCTCCTTCCATCACAGCTCATCTCTCCACGGCAGCAGCGGATGTAGTTGAGTCATCAGAAACTCCAGGGCCCTCCATAGGCGCAGGGTAAATTCCAAGCCTGTGTAATAGAAGGGGGGGGGGGAGAAGGTCAAGAAAAGCTTTTCGTTTTTTTGCCTTCTACACTCTATGTTATCAGTCCACATCAGGAACAGCTCAGATTTCCAGCGGAGCCTTCTCCAGAAGCAGCAATACAGTGCTCTGCTCCGAGCTTACACTGCCCCTTAACTTTAAAGCCTTAAAGTATTAGACAGACACTTTGCTGGCCATCATTCAAGGAAGATTAGAATGGAGTAAGTTTCCTGCAAGCCACCTTTGCACAACTGTGTGGCTGGAGCTCAGCTCGGAGCTGTCATTGGACTAACCCGAATGTCCCTCACCAGCTGCACCTTCTGGTGCTGCTTACGGGGCGGACTCTGTGGTGTTTGTGGCTTCGGGGAAGTCTTCCTTCAGATGAGCAAACTCTAGTGCGCCTACTTCTTTCCTAATACAGGGGAAAACCCTGGTTATATATATATATTTCTCGGGTGAGGTGTGTGAGAACAGAGCATGTGAGTAGTAGGGCTGCCGTGCGGGAACCACCAAGGCACCGCTCCCTCCTGCGCGGGAAGCGACCTGGCAAATGCAAATCAGTGTTTCGGCATCCTCAGGATGTTTACCCCGGTTTGTTTTGCATATTTCTGCCATTACTGTCTTGCCGTTAATTACTGCTGATTCCTGGTAGGATTTCAGTTCAATTCCAGGACGTGCATGGATGTTATTTAGATGTAACACAAAAATATTAATGCTGGCCCGTGCAGGGCTGCTTTTGTCTGCAGTGCTCCGTGACTTACCTGTCCCAGCTCACCTGGGATATCTCTGCCTTGGGGTTTTTGCTCCTGTGTGTGACCTCCATTTCCCTGGAGCACGTACAGACCCCTTGGTGTAGCTGGCAGCTCCCCCAGAGCGCCCACCTAGTCCAAGAATTGCCCTCCCAGTTTGTGCTAGACATGTCAAATCGCTGTATTACCACCTAAATACAGGTTGGCAGCGGCTGTTCTGATAACGATACCCTCGCGATAGGCAATATTGCCCTCTACTGGTTAACTACAACTCGAAGGATCCCTGTTTCCCCTTTTCTGTGCACCAGCTTTGGTAAGAGAAGTTATTTTCCAGCCCTTCTTGGTTGTAGCAGAAGGCAGCTTTTAGTCCCAGTGCAGCTTTGTAGGATGCCACAGCTCGTGTTTCACTTCTTTTTCCTCAGAAGCTGCTGTTCATTGGGTGCACCAGAAAACCAAACTGTAATTGCTGTTTTTAAATGTTACTACTAATGCTGAATCCTTCATTTTCAGAATTAACCCTTAGAAATGTAACTTCTCCCAGCTGGTTTTGCAAGTGAAATAGCTGCAAGGTTTTTAATTATTATTTGCATTAGTGGAATAAGATCTTTAGCTTAATGCCTGGATGCTGATTCCAGCTGCCCCTGATAATTGCCCCCTTGCCTGTCCCAGCTGGGGTGGCTGCAGGCCCTGAGCTGGGTTAAACATAGGCTTGGAAAAAGAGTGTTATTTTTAACCTGGGTCAGTCCCTGCCTGAGGTCACGGCGTGGCTGCCCAGGCTCTCACGTGGGTGTGCTGGCTTGGAGGCACAGGAGACCCCAAGAAGGAGGTGCTGGGGGAACTGAGGGCTGTTTAAAGCCTGAGCACCCCTGAAAGGTGCTTCTTGGGTGGATATTCCAGCTCTGAACTCAAGTACACCCCTCCTCCTCCATACTAGCTGTCTTCCTAAAAGCCGTTTCTAGGACAAGTGTCACCACTGACAAAGCTCTGGCAATGTTTAAACACTTTTTGGTGGTGATGCTCTGGGGCTGAACTCTCCCACAGTGTTTCGAGTGGCTTCCTGTTCCCAGTGGCTTTACTCAGTCTGGCTCAGATGTTTCAAATATGTTTAAATATGTAGAACAAGGAAGAACAGCTGATGCAAGTTACACTTAAGTTTTGCTGTGCCAGGCAAGCTAAAGGAAGATGATCAGAGGAAGATCTGATGGCTCATGCCATGCACAGCGCTGGAGTCCATTCAGTATTTGAACCTCAGCTGAGATGATGTTGCACCATTTAATTTGTGGTGCCATCCTGCACTACCACAACTCGTAAAGGGGAAAAAGTTTGGACAATTTTTGGGGGTCTTTTTGTAACTAAAACTTGTCTTTGCTTTGGGGAGATGGAAAAGTGAATGACTCTATTGGGTGATGAAGATGGATTTAATCCTTTTGATACTTGAAGGGAGCTCATAAGAAAGATGGAGACAGACCTTTTAGTAGAGCCTGTAGTGATAGGACAAGGGGTAATGGATTTAAAGTGAAGGATGGTCGATTTAGATATAAAGAGGAATCGTTTTACAATGAGGGTGATGAACACTGGCAGAGGTTGCCCAGGGAGTTGGTAGATGCCTCATCCCTGGAAACATTCCAGGTCAGGGCTCTGAGCAACCCAATCTAGTTGAAGATGTCCCTGCTCACTGCAGGGGAGTTGGACTCTGGGGGAGATGAGCTCTAAAGATCCCTTCCAACTGAAATGTTCTATGACTCCAAAGGCATTCTGGTTCCCTGAGTCCTGTACTGAGGAGTTGTGTTAGTTGTCTGATTGGGGTGTCTCTGTGATGCACACACACAGAGCTTCAAGGATGGCTTCAGCATGTTTCCCATTCCTGCATCTGTTTGCCAGTATAAATTTTAAACATACATCAAGACATTGCACATCAGAAAGAGAGCCATGCAGTTTGTGTTTCCGTGGGAGGGGAGGGATCTCCTATTTTTGGTGCACTATAATTTGTTAGGAAATGAACCCTCTTGGCAGGTTTTTTGTATGTGCAAGTGATGTACTTGGGTTTCCTATGCTTTTTTTTCTTACTCTTGGCATTTTATTGGTTTATCTTCATACACCTGGTATCATCAGCCTGATACATGCTCCAGTGCTGTCTGTATAGTGTGTAAAATTCTGTAGCCTCTTACGGGAAATGATTGCGATTCTGTGCCTGGACTTCTCTCAGCTTTTCCTTGACTTCGTGTGAGGGGAAAATCAGCGTCTTACCAGCCCTCTCCTACTGCAGGGAGAACCAGGCACCCAGGGTTTTACACTGGCATGATGCAGGCACTCTTAACGCAGAGATCTTTGTCTTATCGTTTGTGATTTTCTCGTATTTGCTTTGGAAATGTGTGGGAGACCCCAGGGCACAAAAGCACGAGCACTGAGGCAGAGATGGACATTTAATCACCTGGGAAGAAGCGTCCTCTGCATAATACCCAAGCACATCAGGTGCTCAGACTCACAGCAGGGTGATGTGGGGCACATCCTGGAGTCCTCTTCTCCTGCAAGGCCTCGGGTGCCCGCACTGCTCTGTGAAATGACTTCTTAAACATACCTTGCCTCCTTTTCCTCATGCCCTCGGAAGCATCTCCCCGTGTGCGATTACAAGGTAAAGACAATGGGACCTGTTGTGTTTGAGAGTGTCGGTGGTTTGATGCACACACAAAGTGGGTATTCCTGCTCTGTCCCGTGTTGTGTCCGTGGTGCTTTTTCCATCTTCAAAGCATTTTCCAGCCATGAACTAAGAACACACACGTTAGCTGAGAGCACACACCCCTCCCTGAGCAGCTGATGCCGGGCACATCCCAGGAAAAGCTTCCAGAATGTGACACACCACTTTTGATGCAAATAAAATGATGCCATATTTCATCAGCTCTATTAAAAGTATTTAAGTAATTGAACTAATGAAACTTTTAAAAGCCTTTAAGAAACAAATGTGGTACACACCTTTGTTCTCACTCTTCCAACCCCCCCCTTTTTTTTCCCCCTCCCATTCCCTTCCCCCTTATTTTCCAGGTTGGATGTCTTTTGTTGGCATTTTGGTATCTTACTGTTTGCTTCAGTGTGTGGTTTTGCTGAGTTTTATGTGTGTTACGGGAGCTGATTTCTCTACTTTGCAGCACTGGTGCTGTTATGGTTTCTGCAGCAAAGGAAAGTGTCACCTGCAAAACAGCATGAGTATGACTGGAGTTACCTCATCTTTCATATCAGTTGGTGCAAACATTGGGTTTTATTTCCATTGTGTTCATTGGCCTGTGCTGTGTGTTCCTGCCTTGCCTCCAGAGTGTGTTTACCTCTCACAGCTTCAACATGATTTCTCATCTTCATGTGGTCCTTCACGCATCTCCACCATCCTTCCAGCTGTGATGCCCAACATCTGGCCCCTCTGAACCCACAGTGGCTTTGTATCCCACCACCCCTGTAGTTAGCTTGGATATTTATCCTTCCTTTCCCTTTGACTTTTCCTTGAGCAGGGCCAAGCCTCCCTAGGCAGACAGTCCAGGTGAGGTGGGATGAGATGACATGCTCTGCACAGGACAGAAATATTGTCCAGGACCATGTGCTCAGCTCCCTCACACTGTCTTTTGGGAAAAAGGGAACAGTGGCTCCTGAGTTGTCATATCTAGTGGATCTTTTGAGTGGCTTCAGTGTAGTGAGAGGCCATTGATGGAGCTTTCTGCTCCAGACCCTCCCTGATGTGCCGATACACAGGGCTGTCTGTGACCAACCGCAGTCAAGACTCTAGTTCTGTGACCCCTAATGTCCAGCCCATTTCCGAGGGGTTCTTCTTTTTCAGGCTAAACTTAGGCATTTTGTGTGCAGCTCACTTCTCTTGCACTTTTCGCTTTTTCCAGGGGAGCCAGATGAAGAAGCCTTTGCCGAGGAGTGCCGACGGAGAGGACAACACGCGCTGCCTTCCCAGCCGGCCAACCCTCCTCGCCTGCAGAAGTCTCACAAGCCTGCCAGCTCCCCCCGCTATGCCTTTCATTATAATAGTGATGAGGTGGAAGAACAGGATAGAAGCCGGGTCATGAGCAGCTTCGAGGCCCCTTTTCATTTATCAGGTGTGCACAAGCATGGTGGGGACAAACACGCGAAGGACGATCCATCAGCTAGTCAAAAGCCAAAACCAAAAAGCCAAGCAAGAAGTTGGTGCTGTGTGTTGACTTAATGTTAGCTCCCTGGGTAGATCATAAACAGCAGCTTATGTGCCTTCATCCTGCTTTAGCTCTGATCTTCCATTTAGCCTAGATTCACTAAGGCCCTGGGATACTTAAGGATCCAGGGCAAATATTGTTGTGCTGCTGAAGTGCCTCTGCTCTTTGTTGTTAAAAATGAAGGCCTTTTAGAGGTTAACTCATCACAATACTTTGCACATTCATTTACTTATATTGTGCTTGGCTTCCTTGTCCAAGGAGAAGTTCAGCAACTTAATACTATTTCTGGAAGCTGCAGTTTTAGGCATCTAAATCTTAATAGAGAAGGCTGAGACCGTTCAGGCAAATGTGGCAACGTGGCAATTGTCCGGGTTATTTTTGGAAGTAATTAGTCCTTTGATATATTTCCAGTCTGTAATGTTTTGGCAATGTAGTCCAGAGGCTATCTTGGACAACAAACTCCTCATAAGTACTTGATTTAATTGGAACCTGTGGTCAAAGATCATCCAGGACTGCCAAGACAGGTTTTTCTGATACATGAAGATGCCTTCCTGCTTGGATGCCCAAACCAAGGGCCCTTCTCAGTAGTGTGGAATTAGGCAAAGTGCTGGGAAGTGTGAGCATATGAGGCTCCTCAGGGTAAACACAGCACATGAAAAATATGCACTGTCCCCCAGAACAGGCACTCACGTATTCCCAGTGCTGCACCAACTTCCACTGTGTTTATGAGCCTTTAAATCTAACACTGCCTTCTTTATGGAAGACCTAAAAATACCACGTGGGATGACAGATTGAAAAAACAGAAACGTTTTGTTAAATGTCTTCCTGGTCAGTTGCTGGAAGTTTTGTCTCTTAAGGATGGCAAAGTTGAATCTTCTCCTTAAAAAAAAAAAAGTTACAGAGGCCTGAATGTAACCGTGTAACCTCTGGGCTGGTGTCCTGAATCTCCCACTCAAGGGTTACAGGTTTGGTCTCCTGTGTCTGTAGCTGGCAAAACAAAGCTTTGGCTGTGCCTTTGGAGAAGTGAGGATCTCTGCAATCATAACAACACTCTGCAATGATTTCTGAAGGGCAGCTGAGGTTGACGTGCTCTGTGCAATTTTTGGAGCAGTTTTTAAGATTGCTTAGGACTTTTTGCTGTGAATTTATTTATGTTCCAAGACGCACAAGTTTGCAATTAAAATTAATTTCCAGAAGTATTAGCGCAATCACAAAATCCTCTCTTCTACCAGTAGATTGTGAGTTGCCATAAAAGACTCAGGGTGGAAAACTTGATTGAAGTAAGACTTAAGATTTTACTGCTGATTTAAATATTTTGCCTGCTGTTCCTCTGATGGACAGGGCTGCTGAAGGACTGGTCGAGTCAGTCATAAAAACCTACGTGAGTGTCTTAATCCCTCCTTGGGAAGTTTTTGCACGAGCCCTGGCCAGTAACACCCTTCTCCTTCATGGGTGTTCACCTCTGCTGACTGCCTTGCCCAGAAAGGAGGCTTCACCAGCACAGCTCTGTAATTACAGAGACCACTGACTCGCTCCCGCTTGGCTTCTCATCGATCACTGCGACAGCTGCCGTGCTTACACGGGCCGGCGTTGGGGGAGAATGGCATCTTTTTCTGCCTTGGTCCAGAGACCTCTCAATTCAGTTGAAAATTGGTAAAGTCCAATGGCCTCAAACCAGGCCCTGTTCCACCTCAAATCAGACAGTTTTGCCACCACTGATGTGGGGCCCTTGGCGGCGGGACCACGCAGCAGTTTTAGATGTTGTCCCAGTTGGAGCATCTCGAGCAAACCCGCAGTCACTAATGATTTACCTGAAGTGAGATGTTCTTTGTGGTTTTTTTTTCCCAGCTCTAGGAATGGGACTGTTTGAGTTTTGATTTGTAAGCCTGTAGGAAATTTAAACGAAGGAGAAGGGGATAGGGTTCACTTTGACTATGTGGTGGGTATCCCTCTGGAAGTGGCATCTCTCTAGTGCCCAAGAGGAAAGTCTGGCCAGCTCACTTAGACTGTCATCCAATATCCAGAGGTGAGATGAATGCTATCCTTAGTCAGGATTCCAGTCGTCGCAGTGGGTATTTAATAAAAAATTAGAGTTTAATTTGATTCTCCATCTAACACTTTGTGTTTTAGTGGAAATTGCTCTGGAAGCTGTTCCTAGCTTTGTAATGGCCACTTAGAATAAAACTTCACCTCTTGTGCTCTGAAATCGCTGCATATCTCAAACAGTTCTCTAGCTCCAAACAAGGAATTTTAAAAATAATAATTCAGATACTGCAAGTGATGTGCTCCCTGATCATGTGATACATGGCTGACTGGTGGGATCCAAGCTGTGTCCAAGTGACATTAAATGCCAGCAGAGACCTGGGGGTGGCAGCCATTAATGGCAGAGATGGTGGTAAGTTCCCCTAAAAGACTACTGCTCTGGATTTTTGAGAGTTTTGACCTTTATCCAGAAAGAATGGCTGAAATGTTTAATTGTTAAAATACTGAAAAATACATGATACAAAATCTCATTATTTGGAAAATAATATTGCAAGGTTTGCTCTTCCTTTTGAATGAAATAGCTTGCATTAACCTACAACTTACAACATTAATTATTCATTTTTGCTGCATTTTTATCTGCTGGCATCTGTGAAGAGGAAACCACTCTAAAAGAGCTAGCTTAACTAATCTTGATCCTTTCCTGGCATGGATTCCTCTTCTGGAAACTTGAGCTATTTGTACTTTATTTCATCTTTAACTCAGTCTCTGTTCTTTTTACCAACATGCGGTTTCCTGACACTTTACTAACTAGTAACAGCAATGTGCTTGGTTATCCAAACTAATTACTTTATGATTCCATCACATACTTAGTTTTGGGCATGTAATGGAAAGAGAAAGGAAAGCAAAGCCACTGTTTTCTATGGAAACCTAATACGTGAGGAATTCTGGAGGCGCGGAGATGGAGTTCCCTCTCCCTTTGCTCCACATCCCCTGGCTGTAACTGTGTGCGAGTGGGAGCAGCCGTACTCTTCTGGGGCAGGGGGTGGGAAGGCTGGCTGGTGGATTTGGGGACTGGCTGGTTGCTCCCTGGCTCAGCCCAGAGCTGCCCTCACGCATGGTGTTTTGGCTGCTGGTACGAAATCATCCTGTAACCCATCTGCTTCCCGTCGAGGACAGCTGGGTTGCACGTGGAAGGGATTCCACGGCTGCATAGCCCTGCAAGCTTTTGATTGCCATTTGGGAGTAAAACCTTGGAAATCTACTCAGTAATAGCGTTACCTGTGCTATTACCTGCCTATTACTAGGCAAGCAGGTTGTATCTGGCTTGGTATGTTCTTGAGGCAATTCTAGGCAGAACTGGTAATGAAAACAGCATGGTGAGCAAGCGTGAAGGAAGGCCCCTGCAAGTTGCTAAAGCTTTTCAGTCCCCTAAAACATCAAAGCTGGGATTACATCACTGGGTTGGCCAGTGAAACTGGAGAACTCGCCCCTTGGATTTAACAGTGCAGATAATTAAACAGTGGAGCAGCATACCTAGACAGGGTGGGATGTTTTGTCACCTCAGGTCTTTACGTAAAGGCAGGCTCCCTCTCCACAGTGCTCCATGGCACGGGCAGGAGCTGTGGATGTGGTGAGGGAATTAGTAGGTCAGGTGGTAGTGTATGCTGGGCAAGGGCTCAGGCTGAAAGGAGGGGATGTGAAAGTGTGGTGCAAAGCTGTAATTGCAGAGTGAGTCACGTGCCTGAAATTATATTGAAGCTGTGAGCTGGGGTGAATTTTTATAATGGCATATGTGAGTGTGGTCAGTCTGAAATAACAGAGGGTGGCTGCAGCTCAGAAGTAAGCTAAGCTGCCTTTGAAATTGCAATTTATTGTTTTGAATAGAGAGACATTTCTAAGAGCAGAGAACTAGAAAGAGCACTATAGAACCCACCTTGAGAGTGCCCTGCTGCCTTGTTAAAGCTCTGTGTGAGTGTTGGGACTGTGACTGCTTCCATGGTTTGAAGGAGGGCAAAAGACTGGCCACGATCTTAGTAAAAATTAGTGGATCTTGGAAAACATTCTCTGTGACCTGAGCAGAAAGCATGAATCTCTCCCACCCCCAACCTCAACATTTCACTCTGAAAGTGGAATGAGATTCCTCCAAAGTCTTCACTGTTGCAGATCTTCTGTAAAAATCGGTCCGTGGCCTTTGTTGCTGGCTGATGTGGGTCAAGAAGCAGCAACGCTGCATGTTAATTGTCAGTTGTGACTGAACACCTTGTTTCCCTCTGCTGTTTCCTGTGCTCCTCTGTGCTGGCAGAAGGAAGGTGGAGCAGACCCGTGGCTGCTCTCTGCATCCTGGTGGAGCAGGCAGATGTCAGGCAGGGCAGGAAGAAGTAGGATACCAGAAATGTGTGGGGTGGGAGTGTTTTCCCCAGGACACTTGTGCCTTTGGATCGGCTGCCTGATATGCACACCTCCTTCACAGCTGCCACCCAAGAATGTGATGAATTTCACAGTCAGTGACCGAACAAACTGGTGACTTTGGGAGGTGCAGATGGCAGGGAAGTAGAAAGCCAGAAGGCAAGTCAGTCTGGGACACAGCGGAGAGGCTTCCCACTTTGTTTTGGTCCTTGCTGAGTGGGGGTTGAGGGAGTTACACCTAAGTGTTGTTGGAAGTTGTTTTCAGCTTTCAGCACCTTTATGAAAGCTGGAGTAGCTTCTGTGCTCCTTGTGGTTCTTCTGGAAGTAGATGAGAAGGCAATGAAATGGAAAGAGTGGGTCAGCTGTTGCTGTTTGTTTTAGACAAGAATTATCCAGGTAGTAAACCAACTATAATTCCAAATGGTGTGGATTATTGCTTCATCCCTCTCTGCTTCTGGCAGCTGACAAAAGCAAGAAATACCAGGCTGATATCTATCTGCTTTTGAGTGAATCTGTTTTCCAAAAGTCACAGCTTGGGGAAGCTCTCAGCAGCCTGTTCTCCCTCCACCCTGTAATGCACTTCTAGAGTTCAGATGGCAAACAATTGCTTCTAAGGGTGGAAATTTGAACAGCCTTCTCCAAGAACAGGACTGTTTGGCTGAAGCCAGTTCAGCCTGGCACTCACTATGGGAAGTTCCTCTGGACACTTTGTGATGCTGGCAACTCTCCAGGACACAGGCTCACTGCAAAATGATCAAATAGTTATGGGGCTGCTGCCTTCTAATTCAGATTTTGTTATTTTGTGATTTTGGGGCTAGTCTTGTAACCAAGGCAGCTAAATATGCTTTTAATTAGCGCTGGTTGAAGTATTTGAGTGAAACATGCACCGAAGGGTTACATCTTTAGTGTGCAATTCTTATTTGTGTTAGGAGCTGCTTCGCTTATTTGGATCAGGTTTTTGGCTGTTATCACCCAGCATAGCATCACTGGAGCTAACAGACTGGCAAAGTTTGACCTATCCTTTCTTCTTAGCTAGGGGTATAAAAGGAAATGGTAGAGAGTGAAATTATTTATCACAGCAGGCTCAAAACAGAAAAGACCTGGCACTTTTCTCTTGAGGAATACTCTATATTTCTTATCTTCTACTTTGGCCAATCTGTTTCTGTGTGTCAGTGATAAAAGAAAGCTTGAAAGATTTCCACTTTTCACCCTTATCATTCCGAAGGCTGGTAGGAAACCATGTTGTCAAAAGCCTAAATATCTTCATACCACATTATTTTAACTTTTGAGTTGTTTCATTTATAAGACAATGAATTATGTGGCATTCACTTTAAGTCATAATTTACATTGACTCACAGTATTTTTAAGGAAGGGTTGCTAGAACTGCTTTCAAAATCTCAAACATTTGAAGAAAATGGACTGTTGCAAAAAAAAATATTATAAAATGACAGCATCAAATGCAATCATGCCTGGATGTGGAAGCCTTTTAGAAATACCAACAGTGTTTTGAGAAGGAAAAATGCAAAAATTATGAAGCTAATAACCTGCTAGGGCTTAATGACCCTTTCCCAAATATCTGTGTTATTGTTTCATAGTTATTTCATGAACTAGTTCTGATCAGCTGATATGATGCTGTTTTTCCCTCCAGTAAAGGGAAGAATCCTTTGAATAACATCCCCTGGATGAGTGATCCTCAGGAGTCAGCATGTCTCTTCTGCCTCCATTGACCTCTGTGAGAAAGCAGAGAGATGCTTGATCCCTTCTGGGATGGGTGCCTTACTCAGTAAATTGAATGCCAAGGGATCCTATTTTTGGTGATGTATAGGTGACTGAGGGGCTGACATGGAAGGAAACTTCCTGGATGGATTCTAAGTGAGTGGATGTTCACAGAGTGTCCCCAGGGACAGGATTGTAGCTCAGGGGGTGGCAGGGTGCAGGGAAGACCCAGCTTCATCTGCAGTCCTGCAAAGCACTGCCAGTTCTCTCTTCCTTAAACAAGAAAACTGGTTTCCACTCTAACTTTGTGCAAGCTGATCGCTCATGGCAGAATTTCTAAGTAAATATCCTGCCTCTTGACTCAGATGATTGCAAAAGATGAAGTCATGCTGTTGATACAACGTAGGAGCTAGAGTGATAACCCAGAACAGTTTCCCTTTGCTACCAGGGAGTGTATTTCCTCTAATGCACAAGCCTTTGATAACATCTCAAATGGTTTTAGCCTAAAAACTTGTCTCATGGTTCTCCCCAAGACTTAAACTGAAGAACTGCAGATCTGCCGTGGGCACATCTCTAATTACACTTGGGAGGAGCTCTGATGAGGAGCAAACTGCAGCCACAGTGTGGTTTTGTACTCCTCCAGCCTCCCACCTCTTCCTTTTCCCACCTTAATTTTGCTCTTGATACTGAATTGATGGAGAACCAGGTGCAGCAGTGACATGGCTTCCTCAGGGCCATCTCTGCCTGCCTGCCTGCCCACGACACAGAGGGAACAAAGACATTTCCATACTGGCAGAGCTGTGCCCTGCCAGGGTCATTCCTCTCACTCCCAGCCCTGCCCCTCAGCTGGTTTGCAGCAGCTCATCCTCTCTGTGCTGGCCCCAGTCACTGGGCTGTGCTGATTCCCAGTGGCAGAGCACCACTGAGCTAAAATATCCCTCCAGCTATCTGAAAGCACCACAGAAGGATTGTCTGAGGGAAATGTTTACTGGCTTTCAGTTTAGATTTACGAGTGCACCTGGGTAGATTGTGGTGGCTCACACAGTTCACTGCCCGTGCAAGTCTGCCAGCAAGTTGGATTTTACTGCAAATTTGGAGGAAAAGGTGTGATGCACAGCAAGAACTGTTTTTCACACACGATTGTGGGGGGGGGGATAAACCATTGGAATGATGATCACATGGCTGGAAGCTTGTGCCTACTGAACCTGTAGCAAATAATTGTTGCTTGAACTCAATGCTTTCATGCACCATTGGAGCTGCAGTAGAATATAACCGGTGGTGCATAGTTAAGCATGAGCAGGCTGATGACCAGCATATAAAATATATATTGGTAAACACTGAGCACCTTCTTATTTACTCAGGATTCTTGGTATTCCCTAGTCTTAAAATGGAAATGCAAATGTCATGGTAACTCTGACTCCTGTGAGCAGGAAATGCCAGTACTTAAATAGCTCCTGCTGTATAAGTCTTATTTATTGCTTCCATTTTGAAAATTATTCTGATTTTGCATGTGCTCTAATTTTGAAGCTTTTCCTGAATGGCTTTGAAGTATTTTGAAAGTTCTCCAGATCTTTTCAAACTTCAAAGATTGGTAGTGTTTTCTTTCTATCCCAGGTAAGGGATATAGTAGAAGGGGGGATATAGTGGAAATGGTGATTTAAAAAAAAACCCTAAACAATACATTAGGAAGCCAGACCTTTTCTTTAATATTTCTTAAACCATTCAGAGAACATGTGCTTTTGCTAGATGGAAAAGTCCATGAATGCTGTGAAAAGTGTTTTACAAGCCATGTTTCCTCAGGATACAAAGAAGTCAGCAAGAGGAGGAAGCAGAAGCAGAGAGAGGAACAGAAGAAGAAGAAGTCAACCAAAGGGAGTTACTAAAATGGACTTCTCTGCTATGCCAATACCTTTATAATAATGACAACTTCATGTTACCTTTGAGCACACCTCTTCTGTGTATATTTTTTGATTGTTCACACTGCTAGCAAGGAAGTGACTCATGTTTAAAACTGTACTAAAATTGCACTATGTTATTCCTTTTAGTTTCACGGAGTGGCTTTCTTGCCAGTCAGGTTAGGGAATTCGGACGAGGCTGGTCGTGGTTAGGAGTGTTTTATGTTTGGAGATTGGAAGGCGTTACAGAATTTCTTACCTCTTCCTTCCCTGGGACTAAAACGACTCTATTCTAGTCTTTGTTATTTGTTTTGTAGGAGATAAAGGGTTGTGCAAATGCCTGTTTGTTTGGTCAGTGGCATCAACATCAGGCCTGTTAAAAGAGGAGTCCTGTTCAGTCATGTCATTGGGAATGGGACTGAGACGTGAGCTCTTATAGGGTAATTTATGCAAGCTTAATAAGTGACTTCTATGGTTGGGGTTTTGTTTTGTTTTTTTCCCCCCCAGGCTGGGCAGTTTTGTCCCTGATATTAAAATGTTCCTACATTTTAAACTGTATCCTGAGGTTATATCCTCTGATTTTAAGAAGCATAGTGTAACGATGGCCTCCTGTAAGTACTCCTACTGATTTCTTTAAGCTTAGTTGACTCCTGATGAATCATTTAGTGAAATCATTCCTTATTTTAAAAGTTTATTTTCAGAACGTAGAGACAAATGATCCAAGAGCTACTTTAAAACTGCTCTTTGTTTCTGCTGAGTAGGCTTTAGATAATAAACATTTTTTCAGCATCCATTTAACGTTTTATCCAGTTGTTTCTGCAAAGAACTTATACTTTTATGTATGAAAACATTTTGCAGGACTGTTTTTTTTAGCTTGAAAAGATGTCTTAGATTTAAAAGAAATAAGTATTTTCTGGCAAGATGACTTCCTTGCTTCCCATACTCGTCTCATGTGCATGACACATCGCTTCTCTTAACCTTTTAGTGTGTACAGAGCCCTTCTGTTGCCTTAAGCATTTACCTGCATGTTCCTTGTCAGTACGTTGTCTCCTCTTTTTAACCTCCAGGTAGGAGTTAGCAGCTTATGGTTTTGTTTTGTTCCTTTTGTCTTCCTCTTGCCGATACGTTGTTGATGTAACAGCCTTAAACCTGGCAATATTGAAAGGCCACAGTTCCTGGAGAAACTCACTCGTCCTAACGTTTAAAAGATGTAGGAATGCACATAATGGTGTAAGAGAGAAGCTAAACAGAAAGTCAAGTCTGCATTTTAGCATGGTTTGATATAACAAATTCTGGTGTCTCTGGTATCTGAATGGTTTAGCTTCAATTACCCCATGTAACCCTCTGCAAGCATATAACCCTTTGTGAACTCTTAGGGGATGTAAATTACGGTTACTGTGGAATACGACCGAGTACCAGTTTTCTGTCACTTAAGTACCACTTTTTTTGTGCAGTGTTACTAATATTTAAAAATAAAGAAAATCTGCCTTTATACTTTGTCCTGTTGCACTGTACTGTAGACTGCAGCTGGCATCAGTTGTCTGTGTTTGATTTCCATTACAGTTTAGGCTGTAAGCACACGGGGGAGGGTCCACATTCACACAGTGCCCACGAGCATTCCAGGTAATTCCTTTTGTTAAATCCATGAGCAACTCAATACATTCTCTGCATCAAATGAGGGTTCTTTCTGGCTGGAAACATCACTATGAGGAGCATATACTTCAAGCAGAGCTTGCACATTTGGCATGCAAGGAATATTCTTCCTGGAGAATGCACAACATTGAACTGCATCCTATTTAGATTGCTTCCCATACTCTAGGAGAAATGCCTCCCATACATGTTCCAGTTTTTAAGCTGTTACTGTCTCTTACTGGTTGGGAACACAGTACTGCTTTGGAAAAGCAGGAGATGTGTAGGAAGGGAGAGGTGACAGCAGCATAGGGCTGGTCTCCCTGGGGCTGTCCCTGTGCTGTGAGCAACCTCACGTAATAGGACAGAGTGGCTCCAGATCAGGAATGTTCCTGGGAGAGATAGAGCAGGCTGGGATTTGGTACATAAATATCTTCTTGACTCAATCCCTGTATTAGCCTTGATGGAGGTGGATAGAGCATTAATTAGGAGACCTGCAGGCAGGCTCTAAATGAGTTAGGAAGCCTGTCTCAGCAAGGGCATCCTTATCCCACCAGAAGGGTGCTGGCATGCTTGCAGGTGGCCTCCTACACTCAGTGCCTTCCACGGGAAGAGACTCCTGGGAAACAGAGTCCCCAGAGGAGGGAACCACGGGCTTTATCTTTCCTGTAACTACCTAGAATCTGCCCAAGCTTGCCCAGAAATTAGGAGATGTGGGCCCATGGCCATTAAGTCTAATTCATTCCTTCTTAGCCTAATTATTTCTGGGTTTTAGCTGAAGGGTAAACTGGTTAACTGCACACTGTGCTCACATGGCTGTGCTCCTTGCAGGACAGCCTGGATGTGGTGCCACGTCTGGATGAGCAGGCACATATGCAAGCTCTTGTATCCCAGTGCATCCATCTGCCAGAGGTGCAGACTGCATGATGAGGTGGTTACTTAAATATGTGCTGGGGCAGGAAAAAATGCAGGTGGGTGTGAGACACCACAGCTGATAACAGATGATGCTGGCCCAGAGTGGCTGTGAATAAATGCATTGTGAAAGTTGGGAAAAGATTCTTGCCCATCCCACAACGCTTCTGTGGAAGAGCTGAGAACAGAAACGGAGCTAGTTTAAATCATCTGATATGATTTATAAAATGTGTTGCAAAATGATTCTTTACAGAGCAGATACCTGGCCTCAAAGACCCAAAATGTATCCCATGAGAAAATTAATTTACTAGGGTAGAGAGCAGTTGAGTAACGGCATAGTTAAAATGATACACTGAAAACAAAACAATTTTATCTTAAGATAGAGGGGACAGAATTGCAAACAAACCAAATGTTGACAGATAAAAATGTTCTTGCTCCTCACTTGGAAACTGCCACTATGAAAACTGTTTAAATTCAGTTGTTTTCCCAGACCTTCTAGATACGTGCACACTCTGCTCTTTGAACTAAGGTTTGGCAAGACTTTGACCTGAAATAAATGATCTCAGAACGTGTAGGTGTCAGAATGATAAAAGGTATTTTTCAAATCTTTGCCCAGTGTCTGCTCTGTGCTGGTGCCACCTCTGTGGGCAGCCTGCAGACCTCTGCATCCTACGCCTACAGATAACACAAACTCCGTTTTCCTCTGTCAGCTTCGCTTTCTTTACTGCAACTTGCTTTCCCCCCCAAATTTCAAACCATCTCATGAGCCTTTGTATGTATTTCTTGAAATAAGACACTGAAAAATGCTTCTTTTGAAGAGTCAGATATCCAGAAAATGTTCATTAGGGAAGCACAAAGCTGCCTGTTTTCCCAGCCACGTCTGAAACGTGTGACTCATACCCACTTGTTCTTCAGGAATGTTCCTAGACATGTGCCACCGAACTGGTGCCTATCAAGTGTGGGGATTAGCTTGTTACTATATCAAGTGTCATTGTGTTATTCTGCCCATAAGGAAATCTATTCATTTCCGTTTCCCCCCTCCTTTGTTTTGTGCACTAGTTGCATGGGAATGTGTATTCCCAGGATGCACAGGTTAGTCTTTTCCCGCATTTCAGATCTCAGTTATCTTCCTTTTGTGCAGCCCCACTCCTTTATGTCCAAACTGAGCTCACATTTTAGTGCTCTCACGTTACCTTGCCTGGGGAGCACCCTGCTGCCCTGTAACCCACATATTGGTGGGAGGGTGAGGGTGGTAAAATTGCCCATGATTAGGTATATTTAATTCTCCTCTTTCCAATGAGCAAGTTGGAATCTTCCCTTAAGAGACTTTTTACCACTATTTGCAAAACCTTCCTTGTTGCTACCTGTTGCACTGAAAACTCTGGGCAAGGCAATTTTCCCCTCCAGTGGTGGGAAACAAGAGAGGGAACTTACTGCTACATACAGATCTCAATAAATGTTCATATTTGGAGCTGTGATCGATTCACCTGCCCTGCATCACCACACTTTGTCTTCCCACAAGCTTTTCTAGCCAAAAAAAGATTAGGTGGGGTGTTGGAAAGTGTCAGTTTTATTAAGTACCTTGTTGGTGCCTTCTTAGCCACCAGCTGTTCGCTACTGATAGCAGGAGAAGCACTTCCGAAGTGGCTGAGCCGACGTGAGATGACATTTCCAAGCACGGGGTAGGTTACTTTGCTGCTCTCATCACGACAAGCAGAGACTGATCACGTCATTTGGCAAATCTTGAACTACAGTGTCAAGTATCCCAGACTTTATTCCCACCTCTTCCTGAAGGTCTCGTGTTGTCACTGCAAAACCAGCCTGAAAAGCAAGAGGTGAGTGTGAGAGGAAGATCAAAACACACGGGATCATAATGAGTCTGAATGCTTTGATTTCAGGGAAACGCCTCCATATCTGCCTGGAAGTGATCACAGCTTTTCTAGGATGTCTTCAAGGAGGGAACAGGACCTCACTGCACTGTCTGGATGTCTAATTGCATCTCCTCAGTCTGTTTCCATTGGCAGGCACATGCACCTTTCTACTGAAACAGCAGACGTCATTTTCTCCATGCCTTGTTTGGGAAATGCTCGTCCTTTGGTCAGTGCAGAGCTGTTTGCTTGTTCTTTAGGCTGCAGTTTAATGAAGTGTTATCTGGCAGGTGTTATTTTTACATTATTTCAATATTAGAGAGTTGCACTTGGGAAAATTTCTTTTAACTTAATAAACAAAACTCACTTTCATGTTTTTAAGATGAAAACCAACATGGCAAAATGGTAGATCATGGCAAAGCCAGTATGCACATACACCCCTAAAATGTAATAGGGTAAAACATATGAAATATGCGTTTCTGCCTGATTTTTTGAGTCCAAATGTGTGACATGTTGGGATGGTTTACTATGTTGAGCTGAGCAGTGCTGGTTGCATTGGGAACAAGAGATAGTGTGAAGCCTATTTAATAGACTTCCTGCTCAGAGCTGAGGAAGGGAGGGAGCTCTAAGGAGAGGTTGAGGAGCACTAAGAAAACGCTTCCCACGGCACCTGGAAGGGACATTCCCCAAAGAGGATTGACTTGATCCTGGCAGCAGACACAAGCTAAAACCTGCCCTGCTGGTAGTGTTGTGACAACATGGGTTTTACTGCTTTGGGATTTGAGGTGAGGAGGTACCAGCACTAGAGCCTCCCCATTTCTGTGAGTCAGGCTTTATACCCATGGAAATGATTTGTCAGCTGCCTGGCCCACTGTCCTGTCTTTGATAGTGACTAATGGTGGATGCCTAGGGGTAAGCACAGGAATGGGCTCACCAAGTGTTTTCCCAGCTGTGGCACTCTGAGTGTCAGAGGCTCCAGGATCCAGAAATGGTCTTTCTGTTGCCCAGTATTTTTTTTCCATTGAAAGCTCCTCAATACCCACTGTCCTCTGACAAGGCATTCCTCATGTGACTCCCTAGGGTAATGAGATAGTCCCTGTGTTTTAAAACTCTCTCTTACACCTTCCTTTGGGTTCCTCCACTCCCCCATCCCAGCACTGGAAGAGACACTGCACACCACATCCTCATTCAGCTTTCCCATGGCACTCATGATTTTACACATTTCACTCATGCCAGCCTTTGTTTAACTCTTTTATGCCCCAAGAGGTTCAGCACATGGAAGCATTCCTCCCAGATAAGCCTCTTCCTACCTTTGATCACCCTCTGAAGTTGGGAAAGCTTGTTAAACAGCGGCTCAGCTCTCCTAAAATGTGATGACCATCCAGACAAGCGTGACTGGCGTGTTACCCCCACCTGTATTCCCCGTCAACAGAAAGAGAACCGGGCCCTGCACACCCTGGGATGCAGGAAGAGCAGACCAACACCTGGGACCCGGCTCTGATGCCTCGGTCTCACCAGGCTCTCACAGGCTCTGAAATACAAACGCATGAGCTCATGGCAGTGATGATATCTCGTCTCAGAGCGTGGTCCCACACACCTCCCCACCCCCTCAGCCGAAATCACATCATGGGGCATTCCTTGGCAGCAGATGGGACGGGCACCTCCTGACTCAGGCACAGCTCCTGCCACCACTCGTTGCTCCTCCAAGTATTAGCTGTCTGTGCCTCTGCTTGGCTGCCAGCACCCAGGCTGTGGGGCGTGTTGCTGCTGCCAGTCTGCCTGCTCTCATGGAAATCCTGCAGCTGCTGAAGGATCCCTGCCAAGCAGGGAGACGGGTCCAGTAACCTTGGGAAGGCACCAAGCTCTCCAATTTCCACAGCACTGCCCGTGGCAGTGCAACAGCTTTAACATTTCCAACCCCTTCTTGTCCAATATGCAGAAGATTTTTCCCATCTGTAACAGTCTGGGCTGTGACTTTCCCCATTCCCTTCAGCATCTTTTGTGCAGGGGCAGCTTAACTGGGTTTTTGGGTCATCAACGTCATTTGGGAAATCTTAAATGCCTGGGGAGTTAATTATGAGGA